TCTTTGCCTCAGCAGCCTGCTGGACAAAAATCTACAATCCTGCTTAGAGTTTTAATTATTTGTGAGCATGCTTCAACAAACAGAAGTAGGGCAGGAGAAAGCAATGAGGTGGTAGATTACAACCCTCATTCTCATACCATCTGCTTTGCTGCTGGCACAGGTGGATAGAAATAGGTTGCAAACATCTATATACAAGTGAACTAGAGCTTTCCTCCTTAACCAAAAGGTTTGAAATGTGACAGAGTTCTGGAAAAGGTCTGGATAAAGAAAGATTCATGCAGATTTAACGCTGTGTTTCACAACAACTCAAAGCTAACAAGCTCTTGTCAGGATAACAAAGGCACACATTAAGTTTTATTTTCCACAACAGAACAAGAGCAGACAGAGCAACGTAACCACACTATTTGTTGAGTTGAGTGTGTGTGTGGCCTTGAATTTGATACATTGCAAGGCCATTTTTCCAACAAATGTGACATTGTGGGGACCACAAGCCCGTCATGGGGCCCAAAGCCTGGGCCCCAAAGACTAAGGTGTGAACTGAGTTTAGGTTAGGTCTAGGGTTAGGCTTGTACTGGTAATGGATGGGCCCCCCAAAGAGCAGTAGCATCTGGCCTAGGACCCCCTTCACAAACGCACAGACAATGCTTCAAAATATGTAATGAAACATCAACTTTTAGATTTTTTTCTCACTTTTAATAACTATTCAATAATTATTACATTTGTTTAGCAGATGCTGCCTCAGACCTTACTTATCAAGCTATGCTAGCTTGATAAGTAAAGCAGCTGGATAAATTTGACTGGATAAATTTGCCAATCAGAAAATGAGAATGGCAAATAATATTTGAATAAATTATCTTAACTCATATTTTTAATGATTGAAAAACAGATGAGTTTATGATAAAAAAAAGAGGATTAAAAAAATATTATTAAAATTGATTAGATTACATTTCTTTCCATATCTTTCTTCATACTTTAAAGGCCTCCTCATGGGCCCCAAAGGGTCCGCGGCACCTACTTTGGAAAAAAACAATTGCGTGTAAGGCTCAGGGTTTGATTTTAGAAATTAATGAAAGATGAATGAGAGCCAACACAAAGTCCTTGTGAAAATAGAGAGATGAATGTGTGCGTGTGCATGTGTGTGTTTCTGGTTATCCAGATATCTGGTGATACTCTTGGTACTGCGGCTCTGTTTCAGGCCCAGTCGACCTTCCAGTACTCACCAGCTCTGTGCCAGAGGACTGCTGCGCTCCCCGGCAGCTGCGAGGCGGCGGACTTGGCCACTGAGGTAGTAGTGGTGGATGACATAGAGGGCAGGAGGTCAGACTGGGCCAGCTGAGGAACCCGCTGTTTCTCCTGCCCTTCCCTGGATCCTCCTGTCAGTAGTTGGCTGGGTTTGGAAGTGCCTCCTCCCAGTTGGCCCCCTCCCAGAGCTGTGTTGGCATTCCTTAGCGACCAGCGGTTCTGAATGTGTGACACAGCCTCCTCTGCCACCATGCCGCCTCCCGCAGTGATGGTCAGTGTAGCATGAACTGTAAAGTCCTGATCCTCTTCAGCCCACAGATCAGACACACGGCACTCATACACCCCCCCGTCCTCCTTCTTCACTTTAGACAGGCTAAGGCGGTGGGAGATGGCGTTCCCCTGAACACGCACAGTCTGAAAGCCCAAGGCAGAGACATGTGGAAGTATTACAAAACTGGCTAACGTTTGGATAACAGCTGGTTTTAGGAGCCATTAATCATCGGCTTAATGAGGCTGGCTGGGGGCGAGGGAAGCTACAGCTTCAGCACCAAATCATGATACTTTGTTGACTGTCAGTCAGTCTTACAAAACTTCAATGAACCTTTTCCTTGACTAAAATGTGACAACTGAACCTGAGTAAGTTTAAAAGTAGAAGGAGAAAAGTTATGTTAGCAGAAATGGGTAAATAAAGAATGAAATGAGGCACTGATGCCAATGCTCAAACTCATCTCTTTAATAAACATAGTTACTGTTTGTTTGGAGCTGTATTTTTCTAGCTTGTTTTGCTCAGTTTTGTAAAAGTGGTCACTTACACTTATTTTTGTAGCTTCTCTTAAGCTGCCCTGAAACGACAGAAGCATATTGAGTTAAACAGACACAGTACGTACATAAATAAAAACAAACAAACAAAAACCTAAACGTTTTATTGAAGGAATTTCAAACAGGATTTGCATTTTGTTCACTGGAAACAGCAACAGAAGAAATGTTGCAGATGTGACTGTATCAATGAGTTTATTTGTCATGGTGCAGGGAAGAGTATCTTGCTGCAGCACCTCTGTCAAGTGGAGGGTCTAAATGTGATGGTTACTGATACAAGAGCCCTTCCTGCAGTCAGGAAGGGCTCTTGTCTCAGTTCAAACAGATGCAGCAATAGTGGAACATATGACAATGTTATTATGGAGATAAAATGGAAAGGATGTTGTCTTGGAACAACTGCTTATTATGTATTTTCCAGGGTCATAGTGCCATCTTATAGCACAATCGAGTAACTAAGTTACCTTCAGTTAGCATAAAAATGTTTTATCAAATATGACTTAAAAGAAATTTGACGTTATAATTTCATGCCTTGATATCGGACCTTTATCTCTTTCAAAACTCCTGCACTTTCTGAATCTCCACCATCAGGAAGTCATCACAACATGCCTGCTCTATTAACTCTTTAACAATGTTTTTCCCAGCATTGCTCTGAGAAGCAGCTCGTATAATGAGATCAGCAGATATGCAGTTCCATCAGGTGTTTGATAATAGATGCTGGCTAGAAGGAGCTGAATGGGAGAGTCGCAAAGGCGGGGTGGCCTATGATGCAGAAGCTCAGTATCTTGGAAATGTTTTGCACTACTGAATGGTTGCCATGGAGATTAAAGGATTTCTCAAACATGCATGAAAGAATTAAAGCAACACTCCAGGTATGTTTATAATGAGGGAATAACATTATAACATAACATAAAGTAAAAAAAAAAAATCAATCTTACACAATCCTGTCCATTTAGATAGGTTAAAGCTTCAAACACTAAAAACTGCATGGAATTTCTTAATGGATAGAGACACTGTATATTTTGTGGTAGGGGGCATTCTGTTACTGAAGATATGTTTAAAAATATCTAAATGTTCCATAGTTATGAAAGCTAAAACTGGTAGCTATTTGGTCTATTTTCCATATTTTTAGAAGTTTGTCAGAACTCTAAAACAAGACCTGTTATTGGGGAATACATTTCTTGGGACATGTCTGACATGTCTTAGAAATGTCTGACAGACCAGGCGGGGCTGCAGGTACCTTGGCCCTGTTCTGCAGCTCATCAGGTCCTTCTTTGGGGCCGTTCAGCTTGATGTACCACCACTGAATTTCCAAAGACATGGGAGCAGAGCTGAGGGCTTTGAAGGCACAGGGCATCTCCACATTCTCTCCTTCCCCAACACTCGTATCCTTCGGGACTTCAGTGAACGCGGCTTCGGTTCCATGCATGAAGAGGAAACAGTAGATTTATAAATGACTTTTAACTGAAACTGGATCTATTTACTTTCTGAAAATCCAACAATATAATCCCACTTCTCCTGACTTTGCTATTCTTAAGCTTCATCATCACAATAAATTTGACTCTATCAAATCAAGTCATTAGAACAAAAGCAATTTGATGTGCTTTGATGCTCCAGTAGGCTGTACTGGCTAAGTTTTATCATTAGAAAGAGAAGCGCTGGCTGGTGCAGGTTGTTCTACTGTCTGCTTCAGGTTACTCACCATCTGCATATATCACCAAGGGGGAATTGAGAATGAAGTAGCAGAAGAGTCTGTAGAGTCTGGACTTTTCCATGTCACAGGGAGGCTGGCACTTTCACGGTAGACATGAAAAGCTCATGGTGTGTACCCGGAAGCGATGGGACCAGTCAGCTCCAATAAGTGGGAATGCAGACTGAAGCCCAGGAGCACCATACAGCTGCTCCGACACCCGGAGCTGGACACTCAGTCTGCCCACACTTCAGCCCTGCAGCAGAGGGGCAGGAAGTAGCAGTGCAGGGAGGCGGCTTTAATCTCCTGCTGATCCAGTGGCTGAGTTATTCCCCACCAAGCCTCTGGGAGGACACAGACAAGTTCCTTGCGGTCAGCGGCGCTCCATCATCAGCCCGACGCCCAGCTGTAGGAAACCTCTACTGGGCTGGGCTCAGATCCAAACCCCATCACATCCCTGGCTCCAGATAGAGCAGGGAGAGGCGGCAGCGTGGGGCTGCAGCAGGCTGAGACCGGGGAGGAGAACTTCACCCTGGTGAATAATCTGAGTGTGTCCTCACTGCTGCTGTCACGGCACTGGAGTCCTCCCACTGCACTGAGCTGAGCTCTCTCTCCTCTGCAGGCAGACTGTGGTCTAAGCACACTGCTCTCCTCCTCCTGACTTAACTGGGACTCTAGCACTTCTGACAACATCTGATCACTCACAGCTCATGCCAACAAATAAGAATATTTCAGATGATGTACACTATTCGAAAAGCTGCATTTTTTAGGGACAATTATGAAACAACTCTAGAGTTCTCAGCCAATGAAAATTGTTAATAAACCTCAGACTTGACATGTATTGAAGTTAAAAAGTAAGATTATAGCTTTCCTGTCTTTGTGCACAATTATTGAACAAGTGTGCATAATTACCGTGCAAGACTGTAGTTCTTGAGGAAACTTAGATCCGTCAAGGTTTGCAGTCTGTTTTTGAGAGTTTTGTCTCTTTTGCTGAGCAGCAGCATCAGAATCAGGGATTTAAAACAGCTCAACAACCTGATAAAGAAGGCCGATTCTGATCTGGTTCTGATCTGGTTCTGTTCTGGTTCTGGGGACAACTGTGGAACCTCTGGAGATGATGATGAAAAGAAGGATTTTACATAAAATCAAGAAAATTATGGGCAACCCTAACTATTCTTTACATGAGACTGTCTTTAAAAAACAGAGGGTCTTCAGTGAGTGTCGTCTGGGCTTTCTCCCACTGACTCAGATTCATCAGGTAGAATTTCAACCAAGCCAATTAGTGAACAGAAAGAGAACTAGTAAATAATGACATTGATTTTCTATGCAGTTTTAGAATTGTAGTCTGCCTATAGTTTGAGCAATGGCAGCAGAGCAAGTGAATGAAGCCATCCAATCCGTGTTGGTCACACTTCCAAACATTAACAGCCATCTGGTTCGGATCGGCACTCCTCTCTCTGACAGTGAAGGTTGGTTGTTTACATCACAGGCAGTTTCCTATAAGCGTCATAACAATGAACTGGAGCTTTTCACATATCACCAACAAATATTAGCGGTTGGGTAAAATGTAAAACTTCAACACAGTCTACACCTTCAGGAAGTGACTAATTCAAGGAGCTGGTTTCTACCAGGCTAAGGTCAGGGCAGAGTTTCTGGAAGAAAACTAAAAACTGCCTTGCATTGTTTCTTTACTTTGAAATACTCCGAATAAATTATTGTGGAGAATTGATGAGGTTGCCTGGCAATGTGATGTTAAATTTTACTCAAATGTTACATACAGAGCTAAAAGATTCTTAAATGCTTCTAAATTATTTTTCTTATACAGTGAGCCAAAGGGCTACATGAGTAAAACTACATTAGCATTAATAATCAAGTCTACAAGATGTCCTGTACCTTCCATGTGGGAGTATCACTTATCCGGTGACAGCGACAGAAAAGTGGCACGCATCGAGACTTTTCTACACCTTTAAATCAGCTTTGACGCAAGGGGAATCAGTTCATGACAAACAAGTATAAATTATATGGCAACAATTCATGCCACAAGATTTGAAGAAAATACTATATAACTATTACTATAACAGACCAGACTGGATTAATTAAAAATCAGAACGCTATAAGTGGATCCAACCGTGTTTTGGATACGATGTCTTTCTTTTGCATTAGTCCTCCTGTCTCTATCTGCCCTCATCTTTTGGTAAACAGTTGTGAACATGATTTAAGGGGACTGTTGTCGCCTTCTGTCACCGTGCTGCCGCCAGCTCGCCACCAGGGGGTTCCCTCAGTCCC